CTCAGTCCCTTCCTATAAACCCATCAGAGGCTGTGTTAAGGGACTTGTAAGAAAGCTGTAAGGCAATAGCTATCATCTAGAGCAGCAGTTCTCAACTTACGGGTTGCGACCCACAGGAACTGTATTAGAGGCTCATGCCATTAGGAAGGTTGAGAACCACTGATCTAGACTATTGCTGTCTCTCCAGCACCTGGCCTGGCACTGGGTCAGTCCCCAGGGCAGGTTTGAACATGTACAGGTAAGTCATGGGTACATGTGAGGCAGGGGAGGAGACAGGTGCAGGGAATAAGTGGAGGGGCAGGGGTGGCAGCTAGCTGAGAAGCCCTGAGCTCTCCTAGCTTTAGTGCTCAATCTGCCTTTGACCTAGGTGCTAGCTATCACCAACCTAGGACATATCACCTGCTATCACCTGCTATCACAAAGCAGGTGCCCAGCATCCATTGAAAAGAGCTGAAGTGCCACCAAAAGCAAGACTGGGAAAGGTGCTCCAGGCCTATTGGCTCTGACCTATAACAGAGGTGATTTTTTTTTTTTTTTAGAGACAGAGTCACTTTATCGCCCCTGATAGAGAGCGGTGTCACAGTTCACAGCAACTTCCAACTCCTGGGCTTAGGCGATTCTCTTGCCTCAGCCTCCCAAGTAGCTGGTACTACAGGTGCCTGCCACAACGCCCAGCTATTTTTTTGTTGCCGTTTGGCTGGGGCTAGGTTTGAACCTACCACCCTCGGTATATGGGGCCGGTGCCCTACACACTGAGACACAGGCACTGTCCAGCAGAGGTGTTTCCATAGTAGACATGTAGCTTGGGACAAAGGCTATGAAGGGGGTGTAAATGACCCAGCTCTTTTTTTTTTGTAGAGACAGTGTCTCACTTTATCACCCTTGGTAGAGTGCTGTGGTGTCACACAGCTCACAGCCACCTCCAACTCCTAGGTTTAGGTGATTCTCTTACCTCAGCCTCCCGAGTAGCTGGGACTGCAGGGACCTGCCACAAAGCCCAGCTATTTTTTGGTTGCAGTTTGGCTGGGGCTGGGTTTGAACCCGCCACCCTTGGTATATGGGGCCAGCACCCTACCCACTGATTCACAGGCGCCGCCCTGACCCAGCTCCTTTAAGGAAACGTGGCTAGCAGGGCATAGTGGCTCAGGCCTGTAATCTCAGCACTTAGGAGGCCAAGGTGGATAGATTGCCTGAACTCACAGGTTTGAAACCAGCCTGAGCCAGACTGAGACCTTGTCTCTAAAAGTAGCCAGGTGTTGTGGCAGGTGTCTGTAGTCCCAGCTACTCAGGAGGCTGAGAGAAGAGAATTGCTTAAGCCCAGGAGTTTGAGATTGCTATGAGCTATGATGCACTCTACTGAGGGTGACAAAGTGAGATTCTATCTCAAAAAAAAAAAAAGGAGGCTATACAAATGGGGGTGGTGGCTCTTTGCTAAGGGTCTTCAATGCCAGGACAAGAAATCACTTTTTTTTTTTTTTTGGTCAGCCTCATCCTGTCACCCTCAGTAGAGTACTGTGTCATCACAGCTCACAGCAACCTCAAACTCTTGCCTCAGTCTCCCGAGTAGCTGAGACTATAGGTGCTCGCCACAACACCCAGCTGTTTTTTAATTATAGTTGTCATTGTTTAGCTGGCCCAGGCTGGGTTCAAACCCACCACCCTTGGTGCATATGGCTGGCACCATCACCACTGTGCTATGGGTGCCTAGCCTCAAACTTGGTCTTGATGCTGAAGGCAGTGGGTGCCACTGAAGGGTCTTAGCCAGAGGGGTGTGGTTTTCAAAACTTTGAACTGGCTTTATAGGGATTGGACTGGGGGTGGGGAAGTGGAGAGTGGAAACCCAATAATCAGCTGCTACAGGCCAGAAGTGGTGGCTCACACCTGTAATCCCAGCACTGTGGGAGGCCAAGGTGGGAGGATCACTTGTGACCAGCCTGGACAATACATTTAAAACTTCTTTTAAAAAGTTGCTACAGGGAGGCGCCTGTGGCTCAGTGAGTAGGGTGCCGGCCCCATATACCGAGGGTGGTGGGTTCAAACCCAGCCCCGGCCAAACTGCAACAAAAAATAGCCGGGCGTTGTGGCAGGTGCCTGTAGTCCCAGCCTATTTGGGAGGCTGAGGCAGAAGAATCGCCTAAGCCCAGGAGTTGGAGGTTGCTGTGAGCTGTGACTCCATTGCACTCTACTGAGGGCAAAAAAAAGTGAGACTCTGTCTCAAGCAGATGTGTTTATGGGAGTAAAGCAACACAAAGGCTTGAGGATCTCCTGTGAACCCACAGCCCTGGCCCCAGCTCAGAAGGTTGCTTTTCTGTGGCTGCAGCTACAGCGCCCTCCATCCCTGTTTGTGAGTCCCACACCCACTCATATTGTCACTCCTGTCTGGCACCCTCTTAGCTCCCTGTCACCTGTAAGATAGCTCAGCCCTGGTGGATCTCACACTGCAGTTCCCTTCTGCCTCTGTTGTCTACAGCACTCTGCCTGCCAACCAGCCAGCGTCTGCCCCCAGACCTTGGCTCAGTCCTAGCTCAGACCAAACCTGTCATCTCCAAGTGGCCTTCTTGACCCTATAGGACCCCTCTACCTGCAGGGCCCTCCCCCACAACTCTAGACTCCAGAAGGGAAGAAAGAGGACACAGCCTGTTTTACTTTAAAAATATTAAAAAGGGGTTAACTTTTAGAACTCCACTGCAGGGTGAGGCAGGCAAGGTGCCAAGGGTGTAAAATTAATGAGGCACCTACTTCAGGGGTGTCAACTTAAGGGCTTTGGCATCTTTGTCTACTGATGGCAATGGGAGTTGTTTTTAGTTGTGAGGACCTCCTGTTGCTACTGTTTTTGTGGAGGACAAAAAAGAGAAGACATTACAGTGGGGACAGGAAGCAGGTTACTTCCTCCTGGGCTGGCTTCTTTTCCACCAAGAGGATGCACACTGACACATGGGAACTACCTCCTCCAGCCAGCCTAAGCCATACATGGCTCAGATGCTGGCAGCACTTTCGAGGAGCCGCCAGGGCTCTGGGGCGTGGGGTGGCAGGAGAGCAGCCTGGCACTGGCACTGGCCAAAGAACCACCGAGGACACCCTGCATTTGTCCTTTGGCCCGAGTAGTCAGGTTGGTGGAGGAAACTCCTGCAGGGGCCACTGGGGAAAAAACACAGGGAACGCTCTGCCCACAGTCCTAGACTGGGACACCCACCCTGAGCTGGAGCCATCTGAGCTGCAGCCATCTGAGCTGCCTTTCTAGCTATGCCCCAATGCCCAGCAAGGACATGACACCATCAGGGCGTTCCACTTACCCTTGGCTTAACGCTTACCGTGGCTTCCTTAGGAGGAAATGCCTTTGCTCAGTCCTGCTGCTGGGCTTCCCCTGGCTCAACCAGGCAAGCTCTCTTCCCCCATAGGGGCCATTCCCCTCTGTCTGGAACATTCCCTCACACCCCAGACCCAGTGAGAGGCCAGCCTGCCTTCTTGTGCCACATACTTCCCCTACACAGCATCAACTTAGGTGTCCTGTTGGTCACCCCCCACCAAGCCACCATTCTCTTCCCCCAGGAAGGTCCCCAGTGGCTGGTACTCTGCCATTATTCTCCTGGAACTGCTCCATGGCAGGTGGTAGCAGCAAGTCCAGCTTGTGGGAGGCAGTTGTCTGGGGACAGGTCTTTCCACAGGAATGCAACCAAGTGATTTGGACCCTAAGAAGCTCTGTGTGGATGAAGCTAGAACCCTTGGGAGATTTGGGGGGTTGAAAGGAGAGACCATGTCATCCCCTTTCCCAGACAAGACCCCAGAAACAGGCTGGGGGGGCCTGAATTGAGAAAAAGCTGGCTCGGCGCCTATAGCTCAACCGGCTAAGGCGCCAGCCACGTACACCTAAGGTGG